CCTGGGGCTGAAACCCTCAGGCAAGACGGGCCCAGATTTCAACTAAAAACACTACATTATAAATGGCTGAAATATTATGGGGGGTAGCCCAGATTTCCACTAAAAAAAAATTTCAGAGGGCTATTTGTATTTTCAGCCCATAGCCCACACTACCTCTTAAAGTAACAAGAATTTTCATAATTAACTGAAATGACTTTTTATTTACCCTAAGTTTATATTTTCATTCCCTTACAGGAAGGAAAAGTAACTCAAGAACAAATTTCAGTCATAATGCCTCTGTATAAGATATTTCTGATAAATTAAGTTTTAAAAAGTAATCACTAACATGAGCCTTTTTATTCTTGCTTTTACTCATCTCAGTGATTCTTGCCCCTCACTTGCACGTACTATTGAAGGTTGACTGTGCGACTGCTACGCTCCAGGTTTCATTCTACTACCGTCAACCGTGTTCAGGCTTTCAAAGCTTCTCGGGTCTATGGTTGTTCGCTTTCTGATAATCGTGGGTCTGTTTTGTGTGAGAGAGGTGAGGGGACAGCATGTCCTACATTATGTAAAAAAACAGTTAATCCTAAGGCCTATTTGATCACTGATATCAAACAGAAGCCTTAAAATCTGGGGAAACTTGGAGCCCAAATAAGCCCTCTGTGAAGAGCTTGTCTGATTCTTCCTCAGGAAAATGGAGTCTGTGCTGGCCTCGGAGCGGGCTTGCCTCCTGGGGTCCTGGGAGGGCCGTGGCCATCTGTCTATCTTGCCCTCTCCAGGGTTAGGCACCTCACCATCCTGACCTACCAGGTAAGTCCCTGTTCAGTACTGACAGGCATTAGGTACTAAATACAGGTTTGTCAAATTGATAATAATTCCATAGGACAAGGGGTTTCAGTCTGATGACCTTAAAATTTTTTTCCTGATATAAAATTCTGTGATTTCTATGGGTCTCAACCTCTACCTATAGATTCTAAGAACTCTTAGGAATATTATATGAACATACAAAAGTTGCCTTTTGGTCATTAATGGGTGTTAATTCTTTTCCTGAATCATGTGGGTGGCTTAAGACCCAGACCCAGTGTGAAGTAAAATCCAGTGTGAAGTAACAGTTACTCTAGATCAGTGCTGTCCAGTAAAAATGCAGAACAAGCCAGAAATACAAACCACAAATGTTTTAAAATATTCTGGTGGCCACATTAAAACAGTAAAAACAAGTGAAATTAATTTTAACAATATATTATATTTAACACCATGTGTCCAGAAATATTTCATCATGTAATTAATACAATTAAGATATTTTAGATTTTTTTCTTGTGATATGTCCTCAAAATCCAGTTTTCACTTGTACATCTCACTTTAGACTAGTCCCATTTCAAGTACTTAGCAGCCCTGTGTGGCCGCTAGGGGCTCCTCTGTGGATGGTGTAGTTTTAGGGCCTTGTTGCTTGGGGCTCATGGACCCTGGGTGGGAGCAGGGTGGGGGTGGGGAGTGGGGGCGGAGGAGGGGGGCATTGCCGGTCGTGGAGCTCCTTGAACATGCAAATCCTTGTGATCAGAATCTAGCTCAAAAGCACTACAGGTGAGGGATGTGGACATTAAGTTTGAGAAGCATTATTTTAGAGGGTGCATCCATATTCTTTTTCATGTGAAACTTTGTTTTGAATATTTTTGTAAGTTACACATTTCTTGTATACAATTTTTAATGAGTCAATATGCTTCCTGTGCCTCCCTCCATTTAAAAAAATAACTTTTTTTTTCTCGTTACAAAAGCACAACTTGTTTACACAGAAAAATTAGAAACTACAAATTAAAAAAAAGAAAATTTACTTATCATTCCAAGTGATTTTTTAGTTGTCTCTAGTTATCCCTAGATATATGGGATATTTGGGGTATTTATCCTTCCAGTCTCTAAAATGTGGTTTACGTCTTAATTCCATAATACATAAATTCTTATAAATAACTCAAACAGTAACATGTAAGTTCCCCAAATGCAGTGCCTGCCTAATCCATTCAGCAGGTGAAGGTCATTTGGATTGTTTCAGGTTTGGGGCAATTATCAGTAAAGTTGCCCAAAATTTTTGGGGTAAATACGGGGGAGTGGGATTGCTGTTAGAAAACTTTTCAGGACTTGAATGTAAGGCTATATAGTCATCTATTCGTTCAGTCAACAAATACTGCTAGCATAGTGCTGGGCAGTAAGAATGCAGACAAGATAGTGTTGGTCAGTGTTGGTCCAGTCCTCATAGAATGTTTTTAATCAAATTCCTATTAATGGATATTTACTTGCAATTCCTCTATCAAAAATAATGAATTAAAAAATTTCAACTCCATCACTACTAATCATCGGGTATCTGCTCAAAAATTACTAGGAGTTTTCAAGGAAAAAAATGAGCAACTAGGCAGTAGTCCTGGGCGGGAGAGTCACCTACCCACGGCACTGGCTGGGGGCCACTGGGGGAGGGCAGGTCTAGCCCCAGGCAGTTGCTGCAGGTTCATTGTAGGTTAGTGGGAACCTAGGATCCTCCTCCCCGTTCCCAGGCCAGCGATGTTCACACTTCCGAGCACGTCAGGATCACAAGGGGGGCTTGTTGGAGCTCATTCCCGGACCACACCTCTGATTTAGTGTGTCTGGGATGGGGCCCCAAATCATCATTTTTCACAAGTTCTAAAATTGCTAAAGCTGATACTTTGAGAACTGCCCTAAGCTATTTGGGGAATTTCTGAGCCTGCTAAGTTGAATTTGGACTCTTCCTCATCAGCGGTTAGGAGTTCAGAGATCTAGCAAAAGCTGTCTTTGAAGTCCTCGGAGAAGGAACTTCTGTGCACCTGGAGGCTCCTTAGCATCACCTGACAACCGCTGCTCCTTGGGTGTTGGCTCCGTTCCTCTCGAGCCGTGGTCTTCACGGGCTCTTCCCGGCGTCGCCGGTTGGCAGGGAACCTGTCCTCTGCAGGCAGGGAGGGCCTTCACGTGGGACGGGTTCTTGCGGAGAAGTGTCGTCCTATCGAGCTCGATTCTTCGTCTGGGTCAGAGGTGACAGGGCCTCTAGCTGCAGGAGCCTTGTGGAGGCTGCAGAGCCTCACCTGAGACTTCAGAAGGGCGGGGGAGGGGCAGCTAACCCTGCGCTGGGGCGTGTTGAGGACGTGAGCCAGCTCTGGGAGCTGCAGGGCCCGATCCCACAGGTGCAGGGAGGGGCCCAGCTCTCAGAGCTGCAGGTGAGCAGGAAGCCGACTGCGGAGAAGGCCTCTGGGGTTTCGCCCTTCAGCCAGTCCGGCAGGCAGCTTCGCGCCAGGGAACTGGGCTCATTCCCCTCCCTGCAGGGTGGAACCCCATTTGCCCATTCACTAGCTCCGTCACTGGTGTTCTCAGGAAACCTCGTCTAGAAAATGAGGACAGTATCGCCGCCCCTCGGGGCCACTGTGAGAATGAATATGGTAACATATGTGAAGTCCTTAATGCACAGTAGGCTCCTCTGTACCTCCTGGGATCGTGGGTCGGTAGTGAAGCGCAGTACATCAAGCCGGGGGACCTTCGGTGCACTCACTCATCACAAAGTACATGTGCTTCTTCTGTCATAGGGTGCTGGCATTCCTCTCCCTGGACAGCGAGGGCAGCTGGCTTTGGAGCCTGCTGTCAAGTCACCCCTTGCACACACATTCTCTAAAGGGAACGTAAGATTGGAGCCTATGTTACTGACAGGGTGACAGCCACACGCACAATCATTTGAAGATTTTATAGGACCCCGGGTGACTACTGTTCATAGATGGGACTGTGAGAGCTACGAGGAATCAGGCTGGCTCATTTCAATCACTCACTCACTGATTTTAAGTGACCCCCTCGGGGCTGAGAATGGAGCTCCAACTCTGAGCTGGCCTGGTTCTCAGCTATTCCCAATTCTGAATCTAGCCTCTGTTGCGTCATTCATAAAGAACCTGTGGTACATCCCTTATTTCAGACATATCACGTGTACAGAGGGAGGCAGAGCGGTTGGCTAGCACAGCTCTGTGGCTCCAAGTTCTTGCTTAGAGGAGGATTTGGGGAGAGGAGGAATTTCAGGTCAGTTTGGAGGGGTGAGTACAGGTTGACAACAACGAACGCTTGGGACCCACCTCTGCTCTCACTGGCCATTCCTCGGCTCTCTGAAAGGTCGATGCAACTGACGGGTTCACTTGAAACACTATTCCAGCAACCTGGTTTCAGCTTATTGGAGATCTAGTATTCATGTTTATGTTCCAATTTCATGCTCTAGTAGTCAGGGGTTGCTTTGTCGTTCTGGGCATATCTCAGCCATGAAGATAATGTTCCTCCTATGTCATGCTCAAAGAAAATAATCAGAATCTACTTCTAAAAGTCTATGAGATGTAAACTTAAGATATGACAGAGTATTTGTTTTATAAAGGAGGTTTCCTTTTTCCTTAATTTTTTAAAATAAAAAGGCCTTTTAAAGAAAAACACAAAAACAAACTCCACAAGCAGAGGGAAATGATAAATAGCTCAGAATGGTATGTACAGAGTACATCCCCTTACTGTCCTCTCTGAGCTCCTGCTAGTTTCACTGGGAAAATTAAGGACCCACATGGCCCTGCATCTCTGTCATAGGAGAGCCGAACGATCCACTCGCCTGTCCCTGAAATTTGGAAGAAGATGGGTGGTGGCTTGATCCCACAGGTGCAGGGAGGGGCCCAGCTCTCAGAGCTGCAGGTGAGCAGGAAGCCGACTGCGGAGAAGGCCTCTGGGGTTTCGCCCTTCAGCCAGTCCGGCAGGCAGCTTCGCGCCAGGGAACTGGGCTCATTCCCCTCCCTGCAGGGTGGAACCCCATTTGCCCATTCACTAGCTCCGTCACTGGTGTTCTCAGGAAACCTCGTCTAGAAAATGAGGACAGTATCGCCGCCCCTCGGGGCCACTGTGAGAATGAATATGGTAACATATGTGAAGTCCTTAATGCACAGTAGGCTCCTCTGTACCTCCTGGGATCGTGGGTCGGTAGTGAAGCGCAGTACATCAAGCCGGGGGACCTTCGGTGCACTCACTCATCACAAAGTACATGTGCTTCTTCTGTCATAGGGTGCTGGCATTCCTCTCCCTGGACAGCGAGGGCAGCTGGCTTTGGAGCCTGCTGTCAAGTCACCCCTTGCACACACATTCTCTAAAGGGAACGTAAGATTGGAGCCTATGTTACTGACAGGGTGACAGCCACACGCACAATCATTTGAAGATTTTATAGGACCCCGGGTGACTACTGTTCATAGATGGGACTGTGAGAGCTACGAGGAATCAGGCTGGCTCATTTCAATCACTCACTCACTGATTTTAAGTGACCCCCTCGGGGCTGAGAATGGAGCTCCAACTCTGAGCTGGCCTGGTTCTCAGCTATTCCCAATTCTGAATCTAGCCTCTGTTGCGTCATTCATAAAGAACCTGTGGTACATCCCTTATTTCAGACATATCACGTGTACAGAGGGAGGCAGAGCGGTTGGCTAGCACAGCTCTGTGGCTCCAAGTTCTTGCTTAGAGGAGGATTTGGGGAGAGGAGGAATTTCAGGTCAGTTTGGAGGGGTGAGTACAGGTTGACAACAACGAACGCTTGGGACCCACCTCTGCTCTCACTGGCCATTCCTCGGCTCTCTGAAAGGTCGATGCAACTGACGGGTTCACTTGAAACACTATTCCAGCAACCTGGTTTCAGCTTATTGGAGATCTAGTATTCATGTTTATGTTCCAATTTCATGCTCTAGTAGTCAGGGGTTGCTTTGTCGTTCTGGGCATATCTCAGCCATGAAGATAATGTTCCTCCTATGTCATGCTCAAAGAAAATAATCAGAATCTACTTCTAAAAGTCTATGAGATGTAAACTTAAGATATGACAGAGTATTTGTTTTATAAAGGAGGTTTCCTTTTTCCTTAATTTTTTAAAATAAAAAGGCCTTTTAAAGAAAAACACAAAAACAAACTCCACAAGCAGAGGGAAATGATAAATAGCTCAGAATGGTATGTACAGAGTACATCCCCTTACTGTCCTCTCTGAGCTCCTGCTAGTTTCACTGGGAAAATTAAGGACCCACATGGCCCTGCATCTCTGTCATAGGAGAGCCGAACGATCCACTCGCCTGTCCCTGAAATTTGGAAGAAGATGGGTGGTGGCTGTTACCCTGGTTTTCCAATTGCAAAGGAGAGATTTTCTCATTGAAATGATGTTTTAAGTGGTACATGGGTTTCCCTTAACTGTGGACTGTAATAAGTTACTGAGAATTGGCCACAAAAGCTAACAGTCATGTTAAGAGTATTTCTATTAGAAACACAATTGTAGGTCCAAAAATTGGCAGACCACCACAGATTTGAGATACAGTCTGTCAGAGGTTGGGAAATGGTTAGATATTTTTAAAAATTTGATCTCCGCAAATTCTTTCAAGTGTACATTAAGCCATGAGCATTTTTTGAGTTCCTGAACATCTGTTGCATTAATAGCACTAATATAACATTTAAAGTTCAAACATAACATGGGGGTTCATCATACTATTTGCTCTACTTTTGTACATGTTCAAAATTTTTCATAATAAAAAGGGTTTAAAAAACACTTCAAACATAAATTTTCAGAATCCCCAAAGGATCAGCCTAGGCAACACTGGAAGGTACTATAAGAACCCCTAATATTAGGTAAAAACTTGAATTGCATTCATAAATAACATAGACAGCAAACCAGCTATCAAAATGTTGAAAACATTTGAAATAATGGACCTATTTTGAAACCTTCAAAATCTACATCACTGTTGTTCATAATTGAGAATGTCCTTCAAATGCCTTTCAAAAGTATGACATTTTAAAAACACCCATTGCAATTAATGTAAAAAGTGAAAATAATACTCATCTTTTAAAGCCTGTCTTTTTAGTACATTTTTCTCTTTAAGACAACGTGCCTTAATAAAAGTCTGGGTTCCCAAGGTAAAATTTTATTAAATGCAGAGTTAAAACATTTACTTTTCAGATGTCTACAGTCAGCTAGTAAATTTTCTGTAGCATCCTTTCACATCTTTTATAAACAAAGTATTTAAAAAACCTACAATGGCATGATATAAAAGAGAGCAGTAATTACAGCAGACAAAATAATAAATGAAATATGATATGCCTTCTGCTCCGCACCTCGGAGTCTAGTCTTAAGAGTGATCGTTACAACCAGACGCCCTTAGAGAACAAAGGACGCGAGTGAGGGCGGGGGAGGCGCGGGAATGTTTCCTGTCATCCGCTGCTGTGTGGTCTTCTGCCACGCTATTCTTTAAACAAAAAGGTCTCCACAAGGGCAAGGCCCACTTCGAATGTCCCCGTACCCCCCTGACTAGAGAACGATGTGTGTGTGATATGCGATCACACCAGGCGAGGCTGTGAACATGCGTGACTTACTCGGTGATCCCATTCCGCTTCCTTTTAAAGAGAAAGAATGCATTTAAGTCGATTGTGTATGAGGCTTTAGTAATTTTAGAAGGCTCCATTCAAACAAAGAATAACATTACCTGATTTTAAAACATTAAGAGCATAGCTGTTTCCTTGGTCTTCATTTTCTGTCCAGACAACATCGATTAATACTTTCATTTATTTTATAAGAGAAAAATATAAGACATGATAAATTACTTTACAATAGTTTTAATTTTTCTCTGTATAAATAGAACATCCCCATAAAATATTCACTTTCCAAAAATGTCTATGGACAACTGTGTAAGATGGAAGAAACGACTAAAGCAACATTACAGCCCCCACCAGCAGCCAGGTCAGGGCGCAGACCCGGAGAGAGCAGGCCACTCCCGTCCCCCGAGCCTCCGTCCCCCCGGAGGGCTCTGGGCCTCTCGCTGGGTGGCAGAGCCCAGAGGGACTCTCAGGCTGGGACAATCCCAAAGCACGGCCACCTAGGGGCAAGTGAGGAGACAAATATGACTTGAGCATGATAATTATTTTCTTGTAATAATAGTAAAGAAAACAACCTTAAATAGTAAAGGCGTGAGTCCCAACTTCAACAGGAAGCTAATTGTGTATTTACCAAACAGCATTTGTTAGGTATGGCAGAAAATACAGTGAATACTTGCTATTTGTCTTTAAAATAAAATTCTCTAAAGCACATTTACTGATTATAGATACAGGTAAGTTGTATTTAAAATAACAAGACACAGTAAACCGTGGAGGGCTTTGTGTATCAGACCCTCTGTTCTCGGTACTTCATATGGTTCATCTCACTTGATTCTCCCAGTAACCCTGTGAGCACCATCATTACCCCTATTTTACAGATGAAGAGCTAAAGCGCAGGCGGGGTAGATCGTCAGGCCACGTAACTAGAATGCAGAACCAGACGCTCTGTCTCCAGAGCTCTTGGCTTCCTAAAAGTTTAGCCCCAGTTCTGTAATGTGAAGTTGGATTTTCAATCCCATTATCACAAGAACTATTCTTCCAAATTCCAGATTCTGTCTTCTCTGCAAATGGTTCACCTTCTGGTTTTACCTGCTTCTTTGTATAATCTGAACCCCTAAGTCATTTCAGTTTTTCCCAGTCTTCTGCCCAGAGGGCACACCGAGGTGGTCACCTGCACTGGCACCCTGCTGTCGCCACTGCCCCCCCCCGCAGGGAGGCATCACCACTGGTGTGGCCCAGGGAGTCAGCCTGCCAGTTGTCGAGCGTTAACCGCTGCTCAGCAACGGTTCCGTTGACACCGTGCAGCGTCCACAGCAGCTGCTCTGTGAACGTCTCCCGGGATCGAATCCCCAAGTGCACCCATCTGTCCCTCTGTATTATCCTATCATGATTTAGTCAAAGTTCATCCAAAGTAGGGCTGCCAGATAAAATACAGGATGCCTAGTAAAACGTGAACTTCAAATATCCAAGAATCACATTTAGTAAAAGTATGTCCCCTATATTGCATTATGGGAAGATTTAAATAGTATTTAAAATAGTAATAAACAGCAAACTTTGTATTTTATTGTACTAATTATCAGTTTTATTGTTTCATCTCTCTTCCATTCTTCTGGAAGTGTATTAACTCCCCCAACAGCGACTGTCACATATTTGATTCTCGCATCTTTATCTCCACGCCGCCAGTTCCCCTTCCGAGCCGTCCCCGGGTCGGCCCTCAGACTGTCCCATGCAGTGACTCACCCAGGGTCTCCCTCGCACCCGGTCTGCGAAGGCCCTACCCTTGGCTTTCAGAGTCTGCGAGCCTGGGGTGGGTCTGAGTCCACATACAGTGTCCACTAGGGTTTCTGTGTTCTAAGCCCTAGCAACCAGTTTGGGCTAACTAAGGCAAAAACAAGAACTGATCAAAGGGCTCACAGAATCATTGTGAAGGCTGGTCAAGCATCCTCCAACTAAGAGAGGAATCGGGCACGAGACGATATGACAGTAGGACCATCATCTCTAAGTCTGAAGAAGTAAATGGTGTTTCTTGTGTTTTGAGTACCTCTGTTCAAGTTTCAATTCCAAACGAGTCCCTGAACCATCCTCTAGCTGTACTCGGCCAGTGATAGGAAGGTTGTGGTGGAAACAGCCCCTAAAGACAGCTTCTTTCCTGCGTAGTTCCGGCCCTTGTAACCAAGGGGGGTCATGCTGCCTGTTGTCAAGTGTTAACTACTACAGCAAGCTCTCAACTGGTTTCTTGTCCTGCTAACCTCCCGGTCACTCTCTAGATCATCTTCAGTTATCTCTTTAAAACATGGCATTTTCTTCTTTGCCTGTCTGGAGTAGTGTTCCTGTCTTTTTTTCAATGATAAATTGCTTTTCTTCATGTCTAAGTGGCTGGGATGCTTTCCTTAGCAGACTCATAAACGGAAGAGTAGTTTTAGAAGGCAGGGAATAAATCCCCTTGATAAATGAGGGCCTAATTCCTTAGTAACTGCGCAAGAGTCAGAAGCGACCCCAAGATTTTGCAAAGGCTCCTCCACGGGCCTGTAGAGATCAGCGTCTCACCAGACTGAAAACTCCCTCTCAACAGGGGCCGGGTCCTCACTGCACCACCAGCACCCTGCTTGCAATAGGCACAGAAGGAACTGAATCGGGTCCTCGCCTCCAGGCCCTCCCCGCTTTGGATGACTCGGTCTTCTGATTTGCTGGTTTCCGTCTCTGCCTATCTCCTCCCTGTCAGGTCATTCCTGCACACGCCTGTCAATCAAGCCGATTGTCATTTCCTGCTCAAAACCTGACTCCCCAGGAATGCTTGCCGACTCTAAATCTTCAGAATTCAAAGTCTTCCATAGTCTGGTTTCACCCAGTTTTTCTAGGCTTTCTTCTACTCCTTACTAAAATTGTTACCCAACGTAGGTACGTAAGGTTTTTTAAAACATAAACTTTTCTGCTTTGGATGGGTGGGCTCCACTTTTTGGATGTCTTTCTCCCATGGTGTCTATGCTGTTCTACTTTCAAAGCCCAGTTAACGGGGTCCGTGTTCTTGATCTTCTTTAACCCACAGCCCACCGCCCAGGCCCTTCTGGCCCTTCAGATCCCTAAACCCTTAACTCCCTGGTTAAGGATCCTTCTACTTGAAGCTTCCATTACTTAATTCATGTCTTATTTGTTTACATACCTCGATAGAGTTGAACACATACTATCTTAAATTATCATTATATACTTGTACTCTCGTCCTGCCAGATTTTAAGAGCTTTAAGGAGCTCTCTGTCACAAATTTTCTGCATTTGCCCAGAAACTAGTGACTTACACATATGAGTGAAGCCTGTGGAACAGGTGAATAAATGGATGCTTATAACACAGGGCTGGTGTTTGGGGGGAGTGCCCTTGAGGTCAGTGTCTGTGTCAGGAATTCATGAACTGCTGCAGTCAGGGGTATAGATCTTGGCAGCTTGGGGTTGGAGGCTGAGTCTAAACCAAGGGCGATAAGGATGAGCACAGAGTCACATGTCAGGAAGCCAAACACAGCGTCAAGTAGAAAGACTCAAAGGCCAAACCTGAGATGACTTAGGCTGAGGGTGTGAGATCGGGCAGAGACCCCCAGAGGCGCCAGTTGCTCAGTAACAGGCTGATGGGCGTCTGGGGTGGTGGACTCCCGAGGCGCTTGTGCGCAGTGTTTAGCAGGTTGAATGAGTGCTTTGTTGGTAAAATGGAGCCACCTAAGAATGAGAGTTGGGCTGATGGCCATTTATCATTTCTAGCAATGAAACGCAGACACGGAAATATATTTATAACAGCAAATATGCTGAAATATAAACACACGTGCTTTGAGAGGTGGACTTAATTTGGTTCCGTCTTCCTGCTTCTGCCATTATCTTCATTTGTTTCCCACATTTGTACAAGTTCACATCCAACTTCTAATGTATTTTTTATTCCTCTATATTATGGATAAAGGAAACCTATTTTAAAAGATGTATCATAGTATCCCATACCAAATGGACTCAGAAAAAAAAATGTTACATTTTTTAGACTTTTAGTCACTCATCAGTAAAGCTACAATAAGAACACTGTCTAATACCCACTGCGTTTCTCTACATTAACGGTTCATAGACTGGAAAATTCCAAGAATATGTTACAAAGGTTTTTTTAAAAAATATAAAGCAAAAAAGTCCTAATGATAAGAAATACATATTGAATTATTGTGAGTTCTGAGGAGTTCACTTCCTATAGCTACCATGCCCTATAAAGCACCAGCGTGCCTGTCAGTCTGTGAGGTTGGGCTGAGCAAAACCACCACACACAGTGTCTCCCTGTACTGGTCGCAGCAAGCATGGTGGCCAAGACTGATGTCCGTGTGAAAAGCACAGCAAAGTTCCTTCTAATCATGTTGTAAGTGTGCAGTTGTCCTCTACATAAATTACAAAATGAATTTTGATATTTTGGGTTAAGTTAAATGCTTAATAAAGTATACTTTTACAGCCTCTTTATTCATCTGATATTACTGAAAGAAGGCTGCACTCCCACATTAGTGTCTTTAACAGCTAATGTATCTGGCAAGCACCATGGAGAACAGGGTCCCGTGCCGAGGGTCTAGGTGCTCTGGACCACACATACTCAGTGGGGTCGTGGGCAAGTCATTTATTGTAAGCCTCAGCATCCTCATCGTAAAATAGAAAAACCTGAATCATCCTGGTGGCTCTTGTGGGGAAGGCTGCACTGTAACTGCCTGTGAACACCTGACAAGCTGAGAAGGGAGAGCAGAGCTAACCAGCTTTTCAGCACTTCACAGGTGACCGGATGCATATTACTGGTTAAGAACCGATGTGTAAATAATTTCTTGGGTGTTTTGCAGTTCTGAAAGTCTACTTTTTACGTCCAGTCAATGGAATTTAAGTAGCTCTTAGCTTTTTCATCATCTTTTCTTGTTAATGAATAAATGTATTTTAGGAAATAGAGAAGCAGCCTCTAAATTATTAGTAATAGCTTATAGTTGAGTGCTTACCAGTTCTGCGGTATTGACTCACTTATTACCTGCAAATCAACCCTCACAACAATAGGAGTAGAAAAGAGTGCCACCATCCGTATGTCACACACGGGAGAAGTGCGGTGCAGAGCTGAGTCACGCGCAGGTCAGCCGGGCAACTGGGCTGTGGGGCCTCGTCTTCTGGCCGGTGTGCTACGCCGCCATTCAGCAGGTGACCCGCTCAAACGGTGCCCACCGCTGCTCCCGGCCCAAGTATCGGAAATGATAGACGGGGGAAGGCGAGAATGAAATGACCCGAGGGGGCTGAGCCTCGGTCCCGTGACCCTGAGGCACAACTAGAGACTCACAACAGCCTCTCTAAAAAGAGTGACTGTCCCCGGGACTGGCTTTCCTTCAATTAGTTCATTCACAGCATTTGAGACATGTTCGTTTTGACTGATCACACATTATAAAAAACACTGGAAATTTACCTTATTGGATGAACTAGACCCCAAACTGTAAAGTAAAACAGGAAAGTAAGTACAAAAGCTAAGTTGGAGAGCCAGAGAGAGGGTCATGGTAATCTAAATGATTCAGCCTGTTACTAATTTGGGGAGAATTTGTGACACTATACCTTGGCATGTGGAGTAGGGGGTTCAGATGGTAGAGACTCGTGCATTGTAAGGACCACTACCCTTCCCTGCAGTGTGGACAGAGATCGAGCTGAAGTCTGTGGCCTTGAGTTTACAGTATTAAAGGCCAGTCTGCACAGCAGTATTGTTTTTTTCTATGTGGGTGCACTCAGCCTCTGGGGGTGCACTCTGCAGTCTGGGGGGAGGCACCCAGTCAGAGCTGGTGTTTTGCCAGGTGAGTGGTAGCAGGGCTACAGGGCAAAGGAGACCTGGTTCTCAGCAAGAGAGAAGTTAAGTAAAAGACATCAAAGGGAGAGAAGGCAGGAGAGGCTGGCGGGGAGAAAAGCAAGAAGCCTGTGGACTGGAGGCCCCGCGCTGGAGAAGTCTGAGGGGTGAGAGGCAGAAGCACAGGGGGCAAGAGATGCCGGGGACCCGAGGACGGCTGTGCTGGGATGAGTGACTGAGACGGCCGGGGAGAAAGCTCTGGCCGGAGCGGGAAGTCTGCATTTAGGGTCAGAGGCGAGACGCACTGGGTGTATCCCGAGCCCCAGGATGTGGCGACAGGCCCCTGGACAGGAGCGCATCAGGGACTTGGAAGCGGTGCAGGCGGGCCATCTGCCTGGGCGGCGAATCCGCACAGTATGAGGACAGGAGTTAAGGGAAAGCCAAGACCGTAAGGACTGTGTCCCAGTCTTTAATAAATTAGGTCTGGGAAGACTTCGGATATGCTGAGCACAGGGGACTAGATACTCTAGAAAGGAGAACCGTCCCCCTTACCTATGAGCTGCCAGTCAAAACAGTTCATACTAGTGCAGAGGCGGCAGCTGAAGAGCAACGAGGCATGTTTCCCTCCATCCTTATGGCTGACCTTTGCTCTGTTCTTCGGATTTAGCAAGAACCTCTGCTTCTTTTTCATCCACAGGCTAGGTCTTCCCTGCTCAAGTCAAATGGAGAATGAAATTACCTGTAAATAAGGCAAGAAGTTCCTCGCTGTCATGAATTTGAGACAGTGTTTTTAAATAAATTACAACTCAACTGCCTAGTTCTGATTTGAAAATGTGGTGAGACCACTAGGTTTCCCTCTACTCTTTTTATATTAAAAAAATTGTTATGTGTAAAAACACAAACACAGAGGTTGCTTATAATCTTGAAAGAGCAGAGTGGTGCACTATTTACTGACAGGCTGACCTTTACACACAGAACCTCCACCTTCACAAAGCCGGAATCACCGTTACTGATGCCTTCAGAGTATCACCGTCTGCCTCAGAAAGCAGCAGGTTTTGTGCATGTAGAAAAGAGGCTCAGTGGTGCGATGCAGAGGGCAGGGGAAAACTTTCTGAAGTGCCAACCACATGTCTGATAATGTGCAAGAAAACAAGGAAATGTCAAATATGGCTCCTCATGTCAAGACACTTACAGTGCATTGGTCACACACAATACTGAGTGCAGAGCCATGTCTCACAATTTCTTGAATCACAACATCTAACACAGGGCTTGAAAGATAGCAATAAGAAGTTAACAAAAAGTTAAAATAATTCAAAAAGTTTAGAATTAAGTAATAAATACACATTTAACATAGGTGCCCAAGGGAAAACAGTTGAGCTGGTGTCATTGTAATCTGTGAAAAATATTGCTCCCATTCTAGTTTTATAATAATTTTATTTTGAGCATGTACTGATACAGGAAGGTCCCTCTTCCTACTCACAGAAATATTTAAGAAGAAAAGATCCAGATTATGATTAGCATGTATAATGAGGGGAGAACATGGGGAGGGCTGAACAACACAGAGAAGACAAGTAGTGATTCTATGGCATCTTCCTATGCTGATGGACAAAGACTGTAATGGGGTATGTGGGGGGGACTTGGTGATGGGGGGAGTCTAGTAAACATAATGTTCCTCATGTAATTGTAGATTAATGATACCAAAATAAAATTTTAAAAAGTCAATGCCAAAAAAAAAGAAAAGAAAAGAGCCAGGTTAGCTTTTACTAGAGGTCGGAATTGGAGGTCAGGCTCATCCCGTGCTTGGGCATCAGGAGTGGCTGAGCCCTAGCCTGCACCCTTTCCCAGACTGCCAAGGAAACTAGCCTGGAGCAATACTGACTTTTTTAAGCATGCAAAACTGACCAGCCTGTTACTGAAACCTTTTCCTTCTTTGGTTCTTTGGTCATGCAAAGCTATCCTTTCATTCATTTACCAAAAACGACTATGCTCCTACTGTTTGCCAGCAGTGTGTCCCCAACTCTTAGCACTTCTGATTCGGTCGCTGCCTCACTCGGCTCCTCACTCTTCGCTCGGGCCTCAGCTCGGTCCTTTGTGTATATACATAGATCTCCATCTGTAGCTTGTACCTCAGAAAGTACATCAGTCCGCTGAGGTTTCTATAGCCTTTAGGCTAATATCTCCAGCTGCAGATCCCACACATCTGGAGGAAGGAGGCTAGAGTGTGAGGTCTGGAGCCTCCAACTGCCCGCCCTGCCTCACCCGCCATCCCTTCTCTGTCTCCCCTGCGGGCATCGCTTTCCTCCAGGCAAGCGTGAGGTCCTGAAAACTTTTCAATACTGTTTGCACTCAATCCTTACACAACTCCCTTCCCCTGTCGGTCACCAAGCATAAGAAGGAACAACTCCCTACTTCTGCTCTTTCCATACTTTAAGTCTTTCCTGAGCCTGTTGCCCCAACTTTTATCCAGATAACTCCTCTTCTTCAAATCTTAAAACCATGTTCCTCAAGGAAATCTTTATTTCTCTCCCTGGACGAGGATGCGTGGCTCTGCCATGTGACTTTATTGCACCCTGTCTTTTGAAGTATTCATCTGTTAAGTGGCTATCTTGTCCACTAGACCAGGGGTCAGTAAACAGTTGCCCATAGGTCAAATCCAACCCCTCTGCATGCTTTTTAAATAAAGTTTTATTGTAACTCAGACACACTCTTCACTTGTTTTGTTGATTGCTTTTGCGTTTCAAAAGCAGAGTAGTTGTGAGAGAGGCCCTAGCTTTACAGAAGTTTGCCAAACTAGACTATCAGCACCAAGAGGCTGTAATCATGCTTGTTGGTCACAATCTATGCTCCCAGCATCTACCACAATGCCTGGCACACAAGTATTTTTGGACTAATTGTATTTCAGTCTCAAGCTTTAATGCATCTTGTCAGTGATATGAATGAAATCACGTAAGTCAACCTGTATCTCTAACAATGAAATAACCATGCTTATCCAGATGATTGTAGTGTTCTTGTCCAAGGGGGAAAACAGAAATGAAATAATACACAAACAATGGATCATTACAACCAGAGTAAGTGCTATGGAAAAAAGGAACACAGCACAATTAGAGTGTGTAACAGAGAACCACCATCAGATACAGACTTTGGGAGGGCTTCCCTGAGGAGGTGACCCTTGGCTTGAAACCTGACGAACTCACCAGGGAAAAGGAGGCAGGGAGACAAGAGCAAACCGGGCAAAGAATGTCGCACACGATTTTCTCTTTGGAGAGAAGGAAATGGAATGTGCCGGGGGAAAAACCGATGTTCCTGTCCAATGATGACCTGTAAGTTCCTTGGAAGTTAAGGGTAGGATCCAGAATGGAGTGAATGCTCAGTGGGTATTTAATAACGTAAATCTTGAAATTCCGTTGTTGGCCAACAGTGGGAAAACAGTAAACTAAAACGCAGCAAAGAATATTCTGCATCCATGAAAATTATGCAATGAAGAACTTTAATTTGTGTAAGAAATGCTTCTGCTATAATTTATTTTTAAAAGGTCATTTTCCACTATGCAATATATAGAAAATTTTTCTAGGAAAAAATGGACTAAATGTTAATCGTGACTGCCTCTGGGTGGGATTATCCCATATTTTCTTTATGTTTTTCCTTATTTTCTATGTTCTGCATTTGAAAACTTTAAGGGTAGAAAAATACATTTTATTGAGAAAATAAAGAAATATAAGTGTTGATCTATATGTACATATCTGAGAATAAATAGCCTTTCCTGGCCCTTGGAAAGGGCGTATAAAATGAGGACCAAAGCCCAGGAGAATTCATTGTCAGTAACAAAGCTCATTAGTGAGGTTTTCCTGGGATGCAACTGAGGCTGTGAATATAAGAGCAGGTGGGGACTTTGGGGCCAGGGAAAACTACCCTGAGATACCCTGCTCTACACAGACAAGCTACTTCTGAAACTTTGTATCTTGATTATTTAAACTGGGAATTTGATCTAAGCTTCCTCTAGGAGTGTCTGATCTCTTCTTGGGGGACACTCTCCTTCATGAGTTCTGGATACATGATTTAAGTGAGGCCGGTTCTGAGATTCCTCTATCCTGAAAGCCTCTTGTTTTTTGCTCCTCAAACATCATCTTAGGCTAATTTATGGAAATGGAAGAGCTGAAAGTTGTCTTTAAAATGTTTTGCCTCTCCATGTAACTGAGTGGTTAAAACGAAGAGCAGAGAGCAATTCAGCTCTCACCACAATGATTAATCTGACTTCCCTTTAGTTTAAAAAAGAAATAGAACCCCATTCTTTCAGCCAAAAAACACTTTATTAATCATTCAGGCAATACATGGCCACCCCCCCTTTTTAAATTAAAGTATCATACAGTCTTATGATGGTTTCACATAAACAGTGTGGTTTCAACATTCACCA